TTTCTTTCTTTCTTTCTTTCTTTCTTTCTTTCTTTCTTTCTTTCTTTCTTTCTTTCTCGTTTCGTTACCTTTTTCTCATTTTATTTCTACTTGCTTTATTTCACTAAAGATTCTGAAATAAAAAGAGAAGCTTAGTTGCCACGAATTCTTCAACCCCATGACCTAGCGACAAAAACGTCTGGGAAAACAGTCTGGTCGTCACGAATGCGCAGTACGGACACCGGTTTCTTGGCTTACTCTATACAGATACTTTAGCGGTAAATTCTCAAGTTCGTAAGATAACATCAACACATTCTAAATTCAAAGATAAATTCTAGAAAAACGTGCCTCGTATCATGTTCCTTCTTATTTGGCGCAAAAAACCCCAGATTTTTTTCGATCTTTTCTGTTAATTTTTTTTGGCTTTGTTTCAAGCTGCTTTTTCTTAAAATACGTTTACTTTCAACTTTTTTTTCCTCTCCTCTCCTCTCCTCTCCATTCCATTCCATTCCATTCCTTATCCGTCTCGTATCAATCAAATCACATCCATATAATTATAGATGGATGTTTGGTCTATAGGTCCACATCAACGCTTTCACCTTTTTTTCAATATCGAAAATACAGCGTGAGATAGTTATATAAAGATAACAACAATAATAAAAAATTTCTAGTAGATAAATGATAAAGTTAATGCAATTTTTCCACTGGTTTTCAAAGCTTTCATTAGTTATAATTGTTGTAACACTATCTGTCTGTCTTTTCTACCTTGAACCGATTTTTATTATCAACAAGGAAGGAAATTGGAGAAAGGTTATTGCTTTTTAAGTCTCTTGTAAACTGCATTCATAACGAAGCAAATTTATAATGTTATTTGTTCTGTCACTAAGCAAGTAAATTTAGTAAAAATATATAGATAATCAAATTGTTGATTCAACAAGTTATATAGTGTCATTTTCATTCTGAATATCTCGTGAATTTCATTAAAAATGAAGCAAAATTATAACCTTCTCAGTACTGCTAATAAGAAAGTGAAATGGAAGCATCACTAAGGTTTATTCATATCGACTGCGAAGACGTTCTCCGTTTAAGTCTTCATTTTGAAAGCCTGAAGCTCCGTCCTTATCAGTACAAACCTTAAGCATAGAAAGTCTATAAGTAATTGTAGTAAAAAAATTTTTCGAAAACTGGTATTGAAATGAAAATTAATGTGTATCTGCTATGTTAAAATCCCACCTTGGAGTTTGATTCCAAATCCATGAATCACAGCCAGTTCCTGATCAGTCTTTATCGGAAATGAAAATTTTCTTTCGTTGTAGTCATTATGATTTATTGTCTTGCAAATGATACGTTCCCTTTCCTCTGGATTCTAATCAACGACCCTAAGTCTATGGTCTGTAGATGGTATCTTTGCTAAAAGCATTCAAACATTCCCTACTTTGTCTTAAAGTGGAATTTCTTTGACTGATGTCCGTGAACTCAGCTCTATCTTGGAACAAGGATTTATTTCTCCAAGCTGTCGGGTCTTTGGCCCACTATCGGACAATATTGTTACTGCGCGCTTTTGTCCCCGTTATAGACCGATCTCTCAAAATAAACACCAACGTTTCCTAATTTTACAACGATATTTAAAGCGGATTAGTTTTATAACTTGGTAATCTCACTCGAAATTTAATCAAAAACACTAGTGCGGCAGACAACCACTCCTTGAACGAAAAGGGAAAAATATGAAACGAAAATTAATGGATTTTTTTTCTCGCAGGCTACCTCAAGTTAACAATTATCGGGATTTTTGGACAAGCTGTTGCTATGGTAACACAGGGTAAGTACGTGCGTACTTCGATAGTCGAGATATGGAATTTCATTTTAATCAATGAAAATGATTAAAAAAAACTGAAATAATTCATCGTGCACTAAATGGTTTTTTCAAAAGACCCTCGTCGAACTTAGATTTTTTTTAAAGGTATTAGCGACTATGAGGTATTGGAATAATCGAAAAGTCAAACCTTTTCAAAATTGCCTCTGAGCTGATTGATATATTAATATCAATATATATGCAACACGGAACACGACACTTCCGAGTACAGTTTGTTCTAGCCAGAGTTTTACATATAGAGGTTATCACTTGCAAGCATTCACAAGAAAGTCGAAAGACAAAAGCATGGCGGCCATTGTGGTGCCGTTAACAATGGATGCTAATGAGAAATATTTTGTTAAGTGGCACCAACATGGCCGTGATGACGTAACGTGCAATCGAAGAATAGGGCTGGATATTTTTACTAGTCGTGGCGTCTTTTGTCCAGCGCGCAGGATGAATAAAAAATACACATATAGAGACTAATGAGACAAAATGTTAAGCTATTTTTGTGAAAGAAACTGCCTATTCATGATACTACAGGTGTTGCTCGAAAAATGTGTTTTATCTGAGTAAGTGCGTGTGAGTGTGCGCATGATCTTGTTTATTTTGGGGGGGGGGGGGGGGGGTGCATATTACGTCATTGCCGCCATCTTGGTTGGAGATAACAAAGCATTCCTCATTAGCTTTTCTCGTTAGATCAACCAGCATGGCGACTGTTTCATTGTCATAATTTTTTGAGGGATTAAAATACAACAAATTTCTAATATCCCAATCGCTTGTCTTCCAGTTTTTGCCTCTCAGAAAGCATTGTCCATCGGGTAGGGCTGCGCAGCCCTTCTGACATAGTCAACAGCAACCATTTTATTGTCACTCATAATTTAAAAAAATAACAGATAGTTAGTTCTATATTACTGCCTGTTTGTTTTCAAATCTTCACTGTATTGTTGTTTTCCATCGGGGGTTTGAAAACAAAAAATAAAAAATTTTAAGGCCGCGTACGATATTTTAAAATTCAGATTTAATTGCGAGGCTTTAGTTGCATAGTTCTTCATGTACGGTACAAACACATGGATCACCAACTATATTTATTGTTAGGAATATAATAATGTACCATCCAGTATGACGTTCTTACCTTTCGGCAATAATGAGGACATTTTGATAGAAATGTTAGTCGATTTACCACTAAACAACGTCATAATCGAATCTACAGCACGATATCTTTTGTTCCTTTTAAGGTTTTAATGCAATTTTGTACATTATTCCGGAGAGCCTTGGTATCGTGATAGAATTGTTGAATATCACGAACGTGACTTATTATTGTTGTCGATATATTATCCGTAGACTACCACAAGTGTAGAGCCTCTTAGGCATGGATATGGACTAAAGCCAACTGGGTACATACAACCTGACGTCAATGTTATATACACGGATAAACAAACGTTAAAAACCACGATATTTTTTCAATGAAGGTGCTTAGTTAGCTAATAAAAGGCTGTATCTTCTCTTTCTATCTTTTTTTCCCTTTCTATCCTTTTGTCTCTTTTCTTTTCTTTTCTTTTCTTTCTTTCTTTCTTTCTTTCTTCCTATTTCTTTCT